CCCAGCACCCAGTGACAAGTATGCGCACCCCACAGCACCCCCTCCATCCGCAAAAGCTCACTTCTGTGGCTACAGTGGAGAACGCGGCGCCGTCCCTCCTGGCGTGACCCCAACCGCCGGCTGCCGGCCCGAATGGTCACGTGATGCAGCGGAAGGCGGCACCGTCCATCCCTCCAGCTGCAGTGATTGGGCGAGAGCTGGGCACATGACCTGAGCAGAGCCAATCAACGTCCTTCCCTGGGAGGTTTCTACTGGACGACTTCTCTTGCATGAAGTGGTGGGACACACGGCCAGCCGGCAGCCGTGGTCCAGCTCCAGGAGGAGGCCCATGCAATAGGAGGGCCAAAGCGCAGAGAGCAGCGCTCCCCACCGAGCTTTCTGGAGTGACTCGGGAGTTGACAAGTTCTCTTTTCTTGTAGGCTCTAGGGCTGAGTCGGGTTTCTGCCATTTGTAACACAGATCCTTAATGTTAGAAGTGCAGAAATGTGGTTTTACTCAGCAGATGGTCCGGTGGGCCTGTATTTTCAGCTAGCAATGAACTTACAACTAAAAGGAGCAAAATCTCTGAGCACTGAAACACCACCATTGGCAGGACAGCCCAATATCAGCACAGACGGAGCACCTCTCTGATGCCTGGTCCTGGGCTAGACACTCTCTGGGTATGTGAAATGGCCTGGCACCCAGTAAGCACCCAGAGATTTCTGAATACAACAAGCTGTTACTGTCCTTGGTCCCAACATTCCCTCCCCATTTACCAAAAAAAAAGGGGGGGGATTGGGAGAAAAGAGAGAAGGGGGGAGGAAGGGGAGAAAAGGGGGTGGGCTTAGGGTTTGGGGTCTTGTTTCCCCTTTTTGCCCAGACACCTCTGATTAAGACCCACCCTAAGTCGTTCCTCCTAGCTCTGATCTTCAAAAGAGAAAATTATGTTTTTTGATGTAACTAGAAAACTCGGCCCACTAAGGGAGTTGATGACCTGTTCTTGGAGGACACAGTCCTCTTTAAATACAGAACTTCAATAATTAAAGCGTTTCCTGAATTCTAACTTGTAATGTTCTTGCCAAGTTTCCCCTGCTGGCATGAGCACAACTCTGTGCCTCCTTGGCCAGGAATAAGAGAGAACCTAACCCTCTCCAGTTCCTGTAGGGTGTCCCCCAAATAACTGCATTGGACAAGACAGTGTGGCCTCTGTCTGACCACAGGTCTAACCCAGCAGTACATCACAGCCAGAGGCACAAGCACGACTCAAAGCTTCAGAGTCAGGAAAATCATTCTTCCCTGAAGACATGGCACACTGGCAAAGGGGCAGTTATGCCTCGTAACACCAGCTCAACTTCCTACAACCCCCTTTCAACGTACCCCCCAAGCCCTCTCAACCTACAAGCTGCTCTCTGAATCTCTCTTCTCTCCTTCATGCCAGCTCTCCTTTCTTTCCCTTCCACATTGAGGTTTTTTTTCTTTCTACGAGCAATGAGGTTTTCTAAATGCAAATTATTTAGCTTCTCTAGACAGATCCCAACTTCACCAATTATCCCAGTCCTCAAAGGGAAAACAACAAAATATTCAGTAGGAGATCGGGTGGGGGTGGTGGGGGAAGGCAGTGAGTATGGCAGCTACCGCTCATCCCCCCACAACATTATAATGAAAACAACAAGTAAGGGTGAGACATAGGTGTTTCTATGTATATGTCTGAATCTCCAGCTTTACCTATGAACTGGCGGGACTAGTGAGTCCCGCCCAGCTCAAATCCTACGTGTCTACCTCCAAAGATGCTGTGGTGACACGGAGGCAGTTAAGACTAAGCATCTTGGCCACCAAGTCATCTTGTCCTTCACAAGAGGCATTTTGATTGACCCTTACTTGACCAATACCTGCATGTGATGACTCAGCTGCTGTCAGTGAGTGATACAAGTAGTAGAGAGAAAACAGCAAAGTTACAGAATAAGCGAAAAACAGCATCCACCACTATGATTGAAACTGATAGAACTTCTACCCAGCAATGTCACCACATACATTCTTTCAATGCATATAGACCTTCACCAAGACGCATCATATCCTGGGTTGTAACAAGCCTTAAGAATGTGAAGGAGGGCCCTCCCTAGAGGCACAAAAGGTTAGGACGCAGCACTGCAAGCTGGCTGCAGCTGCTTCAGTGCCAGTTTGATCCCCAGCCCCAAGGTGATCCACTTAGCACAGCAGGCCTCTTCTGATCCGCCCACTGCTCTCCTCCTCAGCAGTGTACTTTGTCGATCTACCTGTTCTGCTCCCCCCTCTGTCTCTGGTGAGGTCCTCTCGCCACCCCTTCCTCTGGCCTGTGCTCCAGTTCTGTATACATAAAAAATAATAATTTTTTTAAATTTGAAGGAATTGGGTCCTCCCTAGTGGCGTAGCAGGTTAAAGCACAGCACTGTGAAGTTGTCTGCAGCCACAGCAGCACAAGTTCAATTCCCCACCAGAGAGCTGATGCACATGGTCCAGCAGAACTCTCCTGTCTCCCTGCTGCTCCCCTCAGCAGTGTATTTCAGTGGATCCACCTGTTCTTCTCCCCAACTCTGTCTCTGGTGAATCTTCTCACCACCCCTACATCAGTGTATCAAAATATTTGGGATGCAGATAAAGCAGCCCTTGAGGGAAATTTATAGCATCAAATGTTCATAACAGAAAAGAGGAAAGGTTTCAGATCATGACCTAGGTCTTCACTTTAAGAAACTAGAAAAAGCAGCTCAAAATAAACCCAGCACTTGAGGAAAGAAACAAAAAGTTATAATCAATGAAGTTGAAATCAGAAAAATTAAATTCATTAAAAACAAAGCTTGGTTCTTTGAAAAGATTAATAACCAGCAAGACTGACAAGAGAAAATTTACCAATATCTCTATGAGCCACACAGACTTTAAAAGGATGATAAAAGAAAAGTTGGAACAATTTTGTACTTGTATCTTACAATTTAGATGAAATGAAAAAATTCCCCCCCAAACAACCAAGTGCCCAAATTTACTCAAGATGGTCAATGACAATCTGGTCAATGAAACATTAGACTGCCTCTGCCTCATGTCTTAGTCACTACAGGCTGCTATAAGAAAAGCACCATAGGGCCCTCCCTGGTGGCACAGAAGGTTAAAGCACAGCACTAAGAAGCTAAAGCCACTTCTGCATGCGTTCGATCCCCGCCTGCCCCGGAGGTGACCACATGGCGCGGCAGACCTCTCCTGACCCGCCTGCTGCTCCCCTCAGCAGTGTACTTCGTCCATCTGCCTGTTCTGCTCCCCGCTCTGTCTCTGGTGCATCCTCTCGCCGCCCCTGCACCTCTGGCCTGTACCCCAGTTCTGTATGCATAAATAAATAAATCGTAAAAAAAAATAAAAGCACCATAAATTGGGTGGCTTATTAACAGCCAGAATGTATTTTACAATTCTGGAGGCGACAAAGTCCAAGATCACTGTGCTGGCAGATTCAGGGTCTGGAAAGGGCTCACTTCCTGGCTTTTCTCCCTGTGTCCTCAAGTGGTAGGTTTGAGGTAGCTCCCTGGGGCCTCTCTGAGAAGGGCACTAATCCCTCTGTTGGAGCCCCATCTTTGTGACCTGAGCACCTCCAAAGACCCCACCTCCCTCAGGCCACCCCCTCCAGGGTTAGGATTTCAGCATATGAATTTTGTAGGGGCGTAAGCACTGAAACACCTCTACTGTGGAAAGGAGCTTCCTTTCCCCGACCCCCAAGCCGCAGAGCCATGTGAATGGGTCACCCCCATATTTAAGATTAGGGAACACACGAAAGGAAAGCTGCCTGGTGCAAGCTGCACTGTGGGTGAAAACCAGACACGAAGGGGCAGGAGTGGGTATGCCCTGCACAGGGGCCGGGAGCAGGCAGGGGATGGCAGGACAGGGACAGGCAGGCGGCTTCTTGGAACAGGGCTTCTTTCTAAGGTGATAAGCTCGAACTTGGAAGGAGACAGAGGTGGTGTTTGCACCAGATGTGGATGGAATAAAATGCTCCTGGATTGCACACGTTAAAATAGTAAGGACTGGCTGTGTTCTATACACAATGTAGATGACCATTTAAAATAAAATAAAAACCAACCAAATTTATAAAATTTTACTAGTCCAGTTGAAGACAGCTGCTCATGAGGCTGGAAGCCGAACCAAGCGTAACCCCATGGAAATAACAGGACTCTTCCCTGCGTCTTTAGGGTGGGGCTGCTAGATGTGTCCAGCCCTGCCCGCTGATATCACTGATTTGGTACTCTGTAGGACACTCGGGCTGCGGTGTTAGGCTTGTTGTTTTTTCAACGGTTAAAAGCCAAACAAGCCGCAGGACTCAGGAACTGGAGCCCCTCAGAGACACCCGCGGGTGCTCCTGTAGGTCTGCTGGTCGGGGCACAGCCACGAGGGCGGACGCCTGCTCTGGATGGAGGAAGGGAGGATGGACGGAGGAGCCCACCGCTGCTGCTCCCTGGCAGCTGCTTCCGCTCCAAGGAAAGAGACACCTTACAAATATCTTCATCTCACGTCATCTCGCTCACGGGAAACCACCCTGTCCTCACGGCCCCTGCCTCACTCAGCCTCCGCATTTCCTTCCGGCGCTGGGCAAAGCACGGCCCACTCTGTGCCACGTACTACGCTGGGGCACGTTGGGGTGCCGGGGTGCCGTTCCAATAGCAGAAACTGCCCGCAGCAGGGCTGCGTTGGATGCACGGCTGGGGGGCCGTGTCCCTGCTCACTGAATTATGTGGGTCCTCCTGGCTCCGGAGAGGGCTGGGGGGCACCCAGGTGTGGAATCCCACCCGCGATGCCCTCAGCATCTTTGCCTCTGAGGCCCGTGATCACCTGAGCCCCACCCAAGCAGGAGTTTGCACCTTGAGGATTTTAGGAATCCAAATGCTCCAGCGTCAGCTCCCCAGGCATGCGTGGGGGCCCTGTCTGTCGCACAGGGGCACCCCCTAGGCGTCTGACTGCTCAGCACAGGCTCCTGGCTCAGGTATTTTCCTTTCCAGAAATTTAGATCAGACCAGGCTCCAGGGGGCCCGCGGCTAGAGAGGAGGCAGAGCCCCTCGGGGCGACACCGGGACCGGCCTCCAGGGGGCGCCGCCGTGCGGACGCCCGCGATCGCTCGGTCCCCGCGCGCCGCGGGCGCTCCGCGCTCACCCCAGCGGGCTGTCGGCGCGGCCGCACAGCGCAGCCTCCGGCGGCTTCCCGCGAACCTGCCAAGGAGGCCGGGGCGGTGCGCTCCTGGAAAGCGGCCCTCGTCGCTTCTAGACCAAGAGGATGCGGGGCGCCGGCCTTTAGCTCTGCCCCACTGTGGCTGTTTCCTGTACCCGCGCCCTGCGGGCAGGGTGCGCCCCGACCTCCATCTCCTTTTCTCTCGGCCCTAAGCCCCGAGCCAGCTCTGAACTGAACCCTAGAGAGATTTGCGGGGATACTCATGGGTGAATCGGGGAGGGCCAGGCAGGGGCTCCCGTGGAGAGCAGCAGGCTCTGGGCGGTCGCCCCCGGAGGGGCAGGCATCCTGGGGAGTCGGGGGACCCAGAGGGAAGCCAGTAGGTCTGGGCCTTAACCCACAGGGAGCCACGGGGCAGGGCCAGGCCAGGCCCGTGGGAGCAAGGGAGCGTGCGGGGTCTGGCCGCAGACGCAGGCCTCGGCTGTCCCTGCAGGTCCTGGGGGCTCCCCTGCTGCGCCACAGCCGCGGGCCCTGCGGAACGGGGATGGGGCTCCCGCCACCCGCGCGGCGGAGCCAGGGGGCTTCCTGAGGGCCGCCCTGGCTCTTCACTCCCAGGCAGGGCCGAGCTTCGCGGGCAGGGGTCCGTGCACGCCAATCGCCTGCCCTGCTCGCTGCTCACAGGAAGGACGCCCAGAGGGAGTCACTCTCCTGAAGACCCCCCTGCGCATCTTGAATGTGCGCGTGTGCTCGTCCGCCACGCGATGAGAAAAATCGCCTTTCTCGGAGAAGTGAGAGGTGATGGGGTGCACGGCTGGCTGCAAAGGGCGCGGGAACACGGCCACCGCCCCTCAGG